CCGAACTAGCCGGCATTTAAAAATGGCGCCGGCCGGCTTCATGCAAATGAAGCCTGGGAAATTCAAATCCCGGGCTTCATTTGCAACTGCGGATGACTACATTACCCCCACTAGTTCGAACTAGCGGGGTAGTGTAGACATACCCACAGCGTGGTGGGCCTCCCTCATGCTGGAAGCAGCGTGGGCAATGTACTTGGGTACAGATTATAGCTTGTTTTGGGTCCCTATTCTCTAATTCCCTCTTTCTCCCTCATAATTGGTCTGCTCCTGTTCTCCCCCTGATCTCCCCTCTCTATGTTTTCCTCAGGCTTGGGGTATCATCCAGAGCAAGGTGCCAAAATGGAAGGAGCAGTTGGAAGCCAGCCGTAATCCAAGCAGCAGCCACTCCTCGAGCCTGCTCAGTACCTCCCATGGCCAGGGGTACGTGTCAGGCCGCCTGACCCCCAGCCAGCTTGACAAGGTGAGGAAAATGCCAACAAATGATCTCTCCAGTAACATGGGGTTCCTGCGATAACCCCTGTACCCCGTTAATCTGTATCTCCAGGGCCTCACTTGGCTGTCCTCCCTTGGTGGCATTAGCTACTGAAGATGGGGTGTCGGGGAGGGAGAGAGGCTGTGTGTGTGTGTATGTGTACGTTGGGGTTTTAGAGGGATACGATCCTCTAGGGACCAAGCTTCTCTTGAAGAATTTCTGCTGTGGGGCCTCTTGTGTGTGGTGCTCATGCTCATTTTCATTTCCTTCCAACAGCCCCAGAGGCCTCTGCGAGATTTTGGCTCGGCCATGACTGGACGTAGTTCAAGCCCTTTCCGCCAGGAGCCTGCAGAACTTCTTAGATCCTCTCCTCAGCCAGAGCCAACCAGGAGCAACCTGCAGAAGACTTCATCAGCTGGTAAGACTGGGGAGAGGGGGCAGTGATGCGGGGCTGGTTGTACCTCATGTGAGCAGGCACAGGCTGGATTTTGGAGGGACTCAACTACCCACAATGCATTTGTCCCAGGGTGCACTAAGGCACCTGTTCTATGCCAGGATGAGAGGACAGGGTACATGGAGGGTGAGGGGGAAGCACATGAGTGGATGAACAGGGAACCACACAGGCGGGATCAGGGCCTCATTAGGGAAATAATATGAGTGACGGGGGAAGGGCTGAAGGGGGAATGGAGCCTTCTCACTCCATCAGTGGTGGCTCTGTCCCAGCCATACTCTGAGGGGAGTCTAGGGTTGAAAGAAGCCCTCTGAATCCTCTCTCGCCTTGGCTACCCCTGCCAGGCTCGCTCTCAACTGGCCAGCTCTCGCGCGCCAGCTCCTTCGGGGAGCGGGCTGGAAGAGAAGCAGGAGGAGGAGGCAGCACGTTGAGAGTCCAGGCAATCGTGCCCCACTCTGCCGGCGCCAACCGCACCCTGCTAGGGTTCAGCATCCAGGACGTCATCACGGTGCTGATTCCAGAGGCACAGAATGGCTGGCTGTACGGCAAGCTAGAGGGATCCTCCGCGTAAGTGGGCTCAGCTTGTCTCTGCAGCGCCGGGCCAGAAGGCAGCAGGCTAGCTCTGAAATGCCATGTCCCAAGGTTATTGCCCTCCCCTCCAACCTTCTTTCTTAAAGCAACTCCAGTCAGGACCATCCTTAGGATGTATGGGGCCCTATATTGTACTATTAAACCCATGCCCCAGTGCCTGATGACAGCTGGGGGGAAGGATTTTTTTAGAGATGTGACTTGATAATCTTCAGCAACACTAATGAAATATTTGTAGGCAAATTTTAAACTAAGGTACCGTAGATTAAATTCAGAAACTGACAGGATATACCTGGGGATGGCAAATGCCTGTTAAATGGCTTTGTTACCACTTGGATGGCTCTTTCGCAGGTTCGATGTTCTGTTAATAGGTCTGGCAGGCTTTTCCACTTTTAAGTTAACTAGCTCCTCTCTGGAGGAAGCAGAGCCACAGAACAGGGAATAGGAAGAGGCAGGTGGGTGGACATTAAAACCCAGGGGTGCCCCAAATTTTCAGGTGCCCTACACATCTGCGTATATCGCACACAGGTAAGGACAGCCCCAATGCCAGTCTGTCTAGCTGTAGAGGTTTTTTTACGCAGGCAGCAGCAGCTGCTGTGGTGCAGTGCCTGGCCCCCTACGGCCCCCTATCACTGACCTGGTATCCAATATGTGGCATGGCTCACTGGCAGTGGCAGGCAGGTCGTGGGTTGGAATTTGTGGAATGCTGCTCACCATAGGATTCTTACCCAGATGCTGCCTTTCTCTTTGAAGTCCATTAGTCCCAGTTGTGCTAGCTTTGGAGGAGGGGAGTTTCCAGGAGAGAATCCCACGGGATTCCCCACAACTGTCTTTACTTCCTGGAGTCAGCCATATCTGTGTCCAATATGAGCCCGTTCCCAATACCCTGGGGGAGCTCTCCCAGGAAAACCCAGGTGCTGCAGCATGGCAGTGCAGGTGGCTTAGTAAATGGTGCTCTTTCCTCTAAGTTGTCCCTAAATGTAGGCCCTGACCTGGTGCTAGTGGGGTCCACGTGTTGCTGGGAGTGTTGACTTTCTGCAGGACAAAGGGCTTGGTGATTGGTGGCCTTTTAAAGAGCTCCCCATGGCTCTCCGTGCAATGGGCGTGTTTGCCCCAGTGGCCTGGCCAGACTCCATGGCTGGGAATGGAATGCTAAGAAGTGTGTTGCTACAAAGGCTCATTGTCCTCCCTGTCTCTGGCGATTTAGGAGCGGCTGGTTCCCCGAAGCTTTTGTAAAGCCCCTGGGAGAAGTAAGAGACCCAGAGGAACCACCCACCAGGTAATGGGAACAGCTGCCATGCATGTTTATGTGTGCATGCCTGTATGAAGCAGTGTTTCCTGTGAGCTATGTGCTCAAGAACTTGTCTGATGGCCATTGATGCTCTTGGACATGGCCTCTCTTGACAAAACTGAGACATGCTTCTCTCATTATGGCTCTCCCAATATGGGCACAATATTTAAGTCTACCTAGGTAAATCCTAGGGATATATATTCCTTATGGAAACCTCTTGGAAGGGATTTCCAGGAGACATATTCCCTCTGGAGTGGTCCTGGGAGGGGGAGGTCTCAGACCATGTGTGCTGTATGGAGAGACCCCAGAGCAGTCTTCCTAAGATCTGGATTCTAGCCTTTTCTTATTCCTTTTCTTCTTATCGCTCTGTTCCTCTCTTGCTCAGGTCCTTCCCATTACGAAGCAGTCACAGCATGGATGGCCTCCTGGATCGCCCCAGTGTCATGTCATCAGGAAATTACCGACACAGTGCTGCCCTGCCCCAGCCATCAACTCCTTCTCCAGCCTCCCTTGGCGCTGGCAGCCGCCGGAGTAGCACGGCTAGCTCTTCTGCTCCTGCGGATTCCAAGGTGTGTGCACCCAGTGATATTCTAACCTCAGCTAAAGCGGTGAGAGAGGCTCTGTGGGTGAAGGTTGTCCCTCAACTAACAGACTGCCCTTTGCTTTCACTTGCTTTCGAATTATGAGGATAGTTAACAGGTTACCAAGGGAGGTTGTGGAATCTCTGTTGTTGGAGGTTTCTAAGAGCAGGCTGGACAAACATCTGTCAGGGATGGTTTAGGTGTAGTTGGTCCTGCCTCTGCCCTAGGAGATGGACTTGGTGACCTCTCCAGCTTCATTTCATCCCTACGTATGTGTGAGGCTATGCTCCTCATCCATTCCATCCCCACTTCCTGGGAAGGGACGTGTCCATCCACACCTCACTGCATCACAGATTTCATCCGTCTCACCCATGCTTCTGCGCCTCTTTAGTGCTGCTCCAGTCCATCCATGAATCCACCTTCACTGATCTCCGCTACCTTGCTGGGCACAAGCTGCTTTACAGATGTTCCCATCCCTCTATTTCAGAACCTAAGGCCAGGGGGCCGGGTGCGGCCCCTGGCTTGCCTGGATCTGGCTCCCAAGGCTAAGGGCTTCCCCCCCCCCAGCATTGGGGAGCATGCACTGACACTCCAGCCCCTTGCTATCCCAGCATGGGGCTGGAGCACACAAGATCTACTAGCCTGGGCCCCCCTAGGCTCTGGTGTGCGAGGGGAATGTGGGGAGTGTCTGTCTCCTTCTCAGTCGGGGGCCACATCAGTGAGAGTTTGGGTTTTTTTTGCTTCTCACTTGTGTGCAGCCCCCAACTGATTTTTCTGTGGGTCAGCGGCCCCCAACCCAAAAAAGATTCTCCCCCCTGCTCTGTTTGCACCTCCCAGCTGAATGAAGTCTTCTTCCACACAGCTGTTGTCCATCCATCCCTCACACACTCTGTGCCCTATCCCATGGCAGAGCCCCCCTCACTTCTTCCCTTTATTACTCAGCAGGGGCCCTTCAGTTCACTCCTCTTCTCCATGACATCCCAGCCTGATTTCTGGTGGCTCCGGGGCAGCAGCTCTTTCTGCTAACAGTAGGACCCTGAGTGCGGGGAGCTGGGCTGGGGACCAGCTGACAGAGATGCCGTCCTGCCAAGGCTAGGGATGGCTCTTCTGGGTGCCTTGTCTAAAGACAGTCAAGGACGGGGAAGCCATGGCGTGGGGCACAGAACACAGAGGCTTTCACTGGAGATCATAAGTTCCAATTTGGAGGCAGGGTGAAGGGCAGAAGCATGTTTGGATGCCACCGGGGACTGGGGGATGGGATATGGAGACTGTCCTCTCCAGGTCATTGGTTCCAGTCCCAGGCTGGAGGGACCTGGATGCTTGAAGGGATTGAGAAATGGAATTTTGTAGCTTTTCACCTGGGTCTGTGGTTGCAGTGAGGCCCCAGTCTGCCTAGCTCAGGGGACTGGGCTGGGGAGAGGTAACAGGCCTATATGCAGGAATTTCTGTGGGGAGGTGCTTTTTTTGTAAATGAGGAGCACAAGAGTACAAACGTACCTCCTCATGGTCCCCCAAATAAGCGTGCTCCGGCCAGGCTGGGGAAGGCAAGAGTGGTGCACTTGCCTGAGCCTCTCTCCCACATGCTGTGGCCAGCTGGGGGAAGGTTGGAGCTGATTTCCCTCTGCCCTCCCCTAGGACCAAGGGAATCAGCCCCAGCCTTTCCCTGGCTGGCTGGAGCATGAGGAAGGGAGGCTAGGGCAACACAAGGCCCCAGCCTTCCCCAGCCTGGCTAGAATCAGCCCCATGGAGAACCATGGGGGGGAGGGAGGGTGCATTCACACCCTTCACGCACACACCCCACATGTGGGCCTGGGTAGCCTGTCCCCTCTGGTGACTAATTCCAATCCTGCCCTATGCTAAGAAACTTAAGAACTCAGGGGATTGAGGAATGGGAGCTGCTCTCCTCCAGCACTGGCCCAGCCACAGCTCAGCAGTCAGTGAAAGCCATCCCCAGCCGATGGTGTGGAGCGAATGGGGGGCTTAGCCCAGTACCTAGCATGTGTTACAAGCCCCGCCATCACCAGTGCTATTTTGTGCTCCCTTCTGAGGCTTGGCAGAGACTGGGATGAAATGTGCTGTAGCGACTGAGCTCTTCTCTCCTCCCTAGGGTTGATCCATCCAGGGCAGCCCAGAGGCACAATTTAAGGCCGTGTATGTTGGGATCTTGCTGTAAAGCTATATTTATATACCATACAAGGCTGTAGAAAGCATGCAGGAGGCAGGGGATGGTATCCCAGGCCCTCCTATGATCAGAGGTGGCATCTCTGGCCATGCTGGCAGGGGAATTCTAGTTCCAATTTGTTTGCTCTTTGCTGTGCTCTGCAGATCCTAAATCCCCATGATCAGAAATGTATCCGCCTCCCTGAGAAAGAGATGGGGGGGCCTGGGAGCCTGTGGGGGGAGGGACAAAATCCCCTCTTTCCCCTGCACAGTAAGGGAAATATTTGTTCTCTGCAATTCTGCTTTAGTGGGTTTTCTCAAAAAGCACCTAAGCTATTTAGAAGCTCAAGTCCAATTAATGGGAATTGGAGGATGGGATATGGAGTCTGTCATCCCTTTAGTGGGACTTGGGCTCTTTCATTGTTTAGGTGTTTTTGAAATGCCCACTGTGTGTTTGGGTGTGTGTGTATTTCTTTCCCTCCCCCCTCTTTGTGCCCCTCTCTCTCTCCTGCACAATGTGCTTGCTCTCAGCTTTTGCCCCTGTGTCTTGTTTCCTTGCAGAAGTCAGCTGTGCGGGAGCAGCAGCCAGAACTCTTCCCCCGGTAAGTGAAGTCTGCGATCACTGTGGTTTTCTTATTGCTTGGGAAGGCCTGGAGAACTGGGGAGGCAAGTGTGGTGCTGGTCTTCCAAAAAAGGAAACAAGGGTGATCCTGACAATTACTGCCCTGACCACTGACTCCACTCACTGGTAAAATAATAGATCAAATGAATGAAAGGTGGGAAAACCACTCAGCCCCTCACAAGGCCCCCAGACCCTCCTCTGTTCTGTCCTGGAGGAACTGGAGCAAGTGCTCCCAGAGTGAGGAGATGATGAATTGGATCCCTTGGAGTTGCCCGTTTGTAAGGGAGGATCTGAATGTAAACAAAGAGGAACGGGAAGAAATTGAGACAGGAAATCAGGCTAGTGAGAGCTGCTGGATTGTCAGTCTCCCAAGGGAAGCGGGACATCATGTGGGACATCTGAAATATTGTGGACTAGCACAGCAAATCTGTCTTAATGGCCAAGCTATACCAGCCCCAGGGAGATGACAGGGAGGATCTGACAGAGTCTCCCCATCTCTTCTCTCTCCTCTTTCTGAGAGTACAAAGTGGGGCAAGTTCTCTAGTGGGTGATGGGACAGGCTGCTGGCAGGGCAGGGGGTGACTCAGAAATGCTGCACAGTGATCAGGGCAGATTGAAACAGAAGGGGGAGCTCTTGCTGCCCTAGCCAAAGGGTGGAAGGGAGGGAGAGGAGGTGCCATGCTGTGCTCTGTTATTTGAACCTTTGCTGCTGCTCCTCCCCCACAACTCCTCCTTCATTGGCCGACTGCTCCTCTTATGAACTGTGCCAAGGCTAGCAGGAGAGTGTGGAAGGAAGCAGGGCTTCCTGGCCTGGGAGCGTGCATGGAAGTGGCTTTACCAAGAGGAAGGACCCACCCAGAGAGAGGGAGGAGAAATTCTGTTAGGAAAAGGTGTGTGGGGGGGAGGGGTCTCCTGCAGGGAGAGGAGGAGTTGCTCTGTCAGGAGGAGGTGGGGGGGATGTGTGCTGGGGAGTGGCCCAGTCTGGAGGAGGGGGGAGAAGAGGGTCCCATCCAGGGAGAGGGCATGAGCCTTACCAGGAGAGCCAAGGATGTATTAGCTGCATTGATAACTTGCACACTGTGGGCACCATCTGAATGAGAACGTGTCCCCAAAGCATTCTCCGTACTGCACCTTTCCAAAGCCGCTTTCCTTTCTCCTTCCAGCGGCACCAACCCGTTTGCCACAGTGAAGCTGCGCCCCACCATCACCAACGACCGGTCGGCACCCATCATCCGGTGAAAGGGGGCCGTGGAGAGCAGAGGAGGCTGGGGGGGTTGACAGAAGCAGAGGTGGTAGAAATGCACAGTCCTTTCCCATTCCCGGGCTGCTGTGACCTCAGGTTGGCACTAACCTAGTGCAATTTCTCAGGGCACGCCCTCTGTCTTACTCCCTGTGTCTGGCGAGCTCCAGCAGTAAAGAGCTTCCCTGGTTTTCTGTGGCATTCTCTTTGGATTAAACTGTGTGATGCTGGTCCCACGGAGTGGGAGGCATCCCCAGGATACGGATGCTGGTGGCATGGAAAGGAAGTTGCCTAATTCAAGCACTGAGAGCTAAAGGAGGGTACATCTCTCCTGGTCTGTGCGCCTGCGCTGCATGGAGTAATTTTGGCAGGGGAAAAGAATAACTCTAACCCCTACTCTCTTTGTTGTAAGGCACTGAAGGTGGTTTGGCCCCTGACCAGAATCCTGACCAATATGTGGGGTTAGGCACCTGCATGATGGATCAGCAGAGCCCTGTTGTGATTACCTGCACAGCAGGGGTCTTCTCCTTCCAGCTCCTCACCCCAGGGCCTTGGGCAACTGGCCACTGAGTTTCAAAGAACTTTGTGGGGAGGATGTCTGCCTCTCCTCCACTTTCTTGCTTGGTAACCCCAGGGCTGGATAAAAGGATGGGAGGGGAAACCCAGTAGCACAGCCTTGTGTTTGATTCTGTACATAATAACAGTAATATATTTTTAAAATAAAATGGAAAACACACCCTCCCTGTGTGTCCCAGGTCTTCTGACCGTCCATCTTGTCTGCTTCTTGGGGGGATGTGAGGGGCAGGGTCCACCAGGGAAACTAAGACATGGGAAACCTTAGCCTTGGGTAGGCCTACACAGCAAGAGGGGGCCTGCGGCAGCGTCTCAGGATACATCGAGACTGCGTTGCTATTTCGGGATATCGGAAGTATCCCAAAGTAGCAACGCCGCGTCTTTAAAAGCACCTGCTATTACCCGAAATAGTGGGTGCGCTATTCTGGTGTCCTTGTAACCCTCGTTCCACGAGGCTTAAGGGATTTGTCGGAATGGTGCCTCATTTTGAAATTTGGCGCTGTCTACACAGCACTACATTTCAAACTAAACTCTTTCGACCTAGACTCGGAGTAAGCTACGCAATTTGTGCGAATTGCGTAGCTTATTCCAACACAGAAGGGTGCTGTCTAGAGGCACCCTCAGAGCCTGCATCTACAGATTTGGGCTGACGGGGCTGGCTCTCCCCTCACACAGCAAGCCTGTAATTTCCTGCCACTAGGGAGCAGCAAAGTCCCATGTCCCCTTTCCCTAGCTGAGTGCAGGGTGCTGCCCTGCTGTGGGAAGGTGGTGGCGGGGGGTGCGTGTCTCCTGGATACAGGGTGATGGGTGTTCCTAGAGAAGCCAGTCACATGCACTGAGGCGGGTGATGTGGCTGGAGGCTGTAGCGAGTGGTGCCCAGAGAATGGCACGGAGCAGGGGGAGGGGTGAGCTCTCCCTTCCCGCTCCCCATCCAGACCGTTGGCTCCGGGGTTAGCTCCATCTGAAGGAGCCAGGCTCCATCCACCTCTTTACATTGGAATGTGGTGCCACCCTCACGGAGCCGTTACACCTGCACAGAGTTTGGTTCCTCTGGGGGAATCGGTGGCGCCAGCCCCTTGCTCAGGTGTTGAGTCTGAAAGTCACCTTTTAAACCTGCTTTCATGAGAATGTGCCTGGCCTCCCTGTCCCCAGCTGGATCACTGTAGTGGGGGGGGGGGGGGGGGGGG